TATATGGAAACTCTTGGTAATATCTTTACAATTTTTCTGTAAATCTAAAACTGTTCTAAAAAATAAAGTTTTGAGTGTTTTTAAGATCTGATTTTATTTTTTTGATATTTATTTATTTTAGAGAGACAGAAAAAGAGAGACAGCACAAGTGAAAGGGCAAAGGGAGAGGAAGAGAGAATCTCAAGCAGACTATCGGCTCAGTGGGGAGCCCAGTGCAGGACTGGATCCCAGGACCCTGAGATCAGGACCCAAGCTGAAACCAAGAATTGGACACTTAACTGATGGCACCACCCAAATGCCCCTAAGATTTATTTTTTAAATAATCTCTACATTCAGTATAAGGGCTCAAACTCGTACCCCCTCAGACTAAGAGTCTCTTGCTCTACGCACTGAGCCAGCCAGGTACTCTGAAAGTTTATTTTAGAAAGCACATCTGTAAGACCATCAGGGAAGTTTTAAAAAATATATACATATATATAATTCCTTGGGGCAGCTAGGTGGCACAGTCGTTTAAGCATCCAACTCTTGCTTTTGGCTCAGGTCACGAGATGGAACCCTGCATCAGGCTCTGCACTCAGCCTAGAGTCTGCTTAAGATTCTCTCTCCCTCCCTCCCTCTCTCCCTCTCCCCCTACCATGAGTGCATGTTCTCTCTCTCTCTCAAATAAATAAATAAATCTTTAAATAAATAAATAATAAAAATAAAAAACAGATATGATTCCAATTAAATGGATAAGAATATCTTAAAGTTTAGAGAGAAAATAAATGCCCAAGGAAGCAAATAAATGAATGAAAAAAATAGTGAAGGGAAATATCCTCCAAAGACACTGTAATTAAGTCAATATGGAGTCTTATTCTAGGAATAGATGAGTAGCTCTAGTAGGGGACCAGAACAAAGAACCCAGGAATAAAATCCAATGTATATGCTATTTCAATATATGAAAAAAATGTATTCCAATTTGATGGGGGAAGACTGATTGTTTAATAATAGTGCTGGCACAACTGGCTATCTATCTGGTAGAAAACAGTCCCCAATCCCATATTATAAATAAAAAAACAAATCCCAGATGGAATAAATGCTAAATATAATAAATAAAGCATCAAAAAGTTAGAACAACACTTATAATCTGTTTCTCTTTTTTTAAAGATTGTATTTATTTATTTGACAGAGAGAGACACAGAGAGAAAGGGAACACAAACAGGGAGGATGGGGAGAGGGAGAGACAGGCTTCCCACTGAGCAGGGAGCTCAACATCAGGCTCAATTCCAGGACCCTGGGATCATAACCTGAGCTGAAGGCAGATGCTTAACAACTGAGCCACCCAGGCAACCCCTACAATCTGTTTCTTAACCAAAAAGAAAAGATAACCATATTTGAATTTATAAAAATTAAAACAATTTATGTTGCAAAAGCTATCATAAATAAACAAAACTAATGAATAGGCAAAGGATAGATTTGGGAAAATACTTGCAAAGGAGATAAGAGATAATGAGTTAGTAATCATTACCAATATAAAAAGAGCTCTTAAAAATTGGCAAGAGACAAAGAGTCCCATGGAAAAATGGGGAAAGGATGTGAAAGGGAGTTAGTTCATGAGAACAAATCCAGATAGCCATAAGTATGAACATGCTCAAAATAACCAGCAATTAGAGAAATGCAAATTACAGTGAAAAAAACAATACATCACTCTATACCCAATCAGATAAAAGAAAATTAGAGAGTAATAATACAATTGCCCACAGGATGAATAGGAAAAAAATATAAATTGTTTACAGCTGTTTTGAAAAGTAGTCTGACAAATATTTTTAAAATTAACAGTATACAGACATGTCAACCAACAAACCACACTTCTGGGAATCTATCTCTCAAATATAAAATCACCAGTAAAATATTTATTATGGCATTGCTCTTACTGGAAAAAAAAAAAAGAGAGAGAAACAAAAAGAATTCTCAGCAATAAGATAATAAATAATGGCACATTAATACTGTGGAATATTAAGCAGCTGTTAAAAAGAATGGATTAAAGCTCTACCATTTGATTTGGGTGGGTTTTCCTGGATGTATTTTTGTTGTATTTTGTTTTCTAATTCTGGTATAATTAATATACAGTGTTCTGTTAGTTTCAGGTCTACACTATAGTGATGCAGCAATTCTATACATTAGTTAGTGCCCATCATGGTAAGTGTACCCTTAATCCCCTTCACTTATTCTACCCACTCCCCCCTTCCATAACCATCTGTTTGTTCTCTATAGTTAAGAGTCTATTTTTTGGTTTGTCTCTTTTTTCTTTGTTCATTTGTTTTCTTAAATTCTGTACACAAGTGGTATCATACGGTATTTGTCTTTCTCTGACTGATTTTGCTTAGCATTATACTCTCTTGGTCCATCCATGTTGTTGCAAATGGCAAGATTGCATTCTTTTTTTTTTTTTGGCTGAGTAATATTCCAGGGTGTGTGTGTGTGTGTGTGTGTGTGTGTGTGTAACATCCTCTTTAACCATTCACCTATGGATAGACACTAGGGCTGCTTCTATAATGTGACTATTATAAATAATGCTGCAATAAACATACAGGTACATATATATTTTTTGAACTAGTGTTTTCATTTTCTTTGGGTAAATCCCCCATACTGGAAATACTGGATCATGTGGTATTTCCATTTTTAATTTTTTGAGGAACCTCCATACTGTTCTCCACAGTCGCTCCACCAGTTTGCATTCCCATCAACAGTGCTTGAGCGTTCCTTTTTCTCCACAGACTCACCAAAAGTTGTTTCTTGTGTTTTGTATTTTAGCCACTCTGATAGCTGTGAGGAGATATCTCAGTGTGGTTTCGATTTGCATTCCCTGGTGATGAGTGATGTTGAGCATCTATCCATGTATGTATTGGCCATCTGAATGTCTTCTTTGGAAAAATGTCTATTCATGCCTTCTGAACTCTTAAAAATTGGATTATTTGTTTCCTGGAGATATTTTTGAATATTAAAGTGAGATGCAGAAAAGTGTGTACACCATGATCCCATTTTTAAAAAGCAAATACTGACCACAACCCAAAACTGTGAATATGGAAACAAACACGGGAGGAAGCCCACCCAATTGCTAACACAGATCAGTGGTAGTACTGGGAAGGAAGAGGGGGTACGCAGGGATTGAAAAGAAAAAAATGACAGAATGTATCATATGGGTATGTGAAGGATATTAATCAGAAACCTGCTACAACATGGATTAGGCTATAACGTGATAGACATGAGCATCTATCCTCCCGTGCAGCGCCTATTCCCAATACTTCATAGTCATTTGGCACTTTATCATTTTATGAACTACTTAGTTCTATACAACATAAGTCTCACAATCTTATCTGCATTTTGGGCAATCCTACTGAAAATTATTGTTTTTCCTTAACTGTTACCATATACTTTATGAAATTGAATTTTTAGACCCCACTTTCCAAGTTGGGGTATAATTTTATACACAAAGTATGTACTTATATGTAAAGAAATTAGAAAAAAATAAGGATTTAGTGGTTATTTGTTTACTGATTGATGGATTATCTATAAAATGAAAAAGTAGTTACAGAAAAATATGTATAAAGTAGTCTATTTTAGTAAAAACAAGCAAAATCCTAACTATAAATGCTTAAATACTTCTAAGTGAAAGAGAAAGCTTCAGAAAATCTTCACAAGGCCACAGGCCCGTGTTCTATCATGGGGAGGAAAGAAAAGAAGGGGCAGATTATTAGCTTTGCTTTTTTACCTCTCCGCATCTTATTACTTCACTTATTACAATAAACAAAAAAGTATTACTTTTGAGATCTGAAAACATTAAGTAATGAAAACAAAAATAAATTGCAAACAATAAAATAAATTGGGTATGACTTAGCACTAATTTTATAAGATCCATTGTGAATATTAAATGAGATAAACTACTTGAAGTGTGTACCATATTGCCAAATGCTGCTAATCTGCAGTAAACGTTAGCTATTTTTTATTAAAAAAATACTACAGAGAACAGTGGAATTTATGAAACTGAAAAGATAAGGCCTTTGAATATGACAGGGCACTTTTTTCATTACTACTGAATCTGGTCTCCTTTGGAACGCAAGGACTCATTATGGGAACCATACAACTCATAAAACACACTTTTACCAACAGAATAAAAAAATTACAGTTAGATAAATAAGATACTTAATAAGAAAGAGAGAGCAGCCTTTTGGCCTTGAAGTCTACTTTAAGAACTTTAAGAACCAGGGCGCCAAGGTAGCTCATTCATTAAGCATCTGCCTTCCGCCTAGGTCATGATCCCAGGGCCCTGGAATCAAGCTCTCTGGCAGGAAGCCTGCTTCTCCCACTCCCCCTGCTTATTATGTTCCCCCTCTTGCTGTTTCTCTCTCTGTCAATAAATAAATAAATAAATAAAATCTTTTTTAAAAAAAGAACTTTAAGAACCAGGAATGCCTGGGATTTCGGCTCAGGTCATGGTCTCAGGGTTGTGATAATGAGCCCCATGTCAGGCTCTGTGCTGTGCATAGAGTCTGCTTGAGATTGTCTTTCCCTCTTTCTCTGCCCCTCCCCTCTTCCTCCACTGTCACATGCTCACACACTCTCAAAAAAAAATCAATCATCAATTAATTAATTAAAAGAACTTCTAAAACCATCCAAAGGCTTTTGCTTCTTCACAGCCACTTTGAATGAGAGATACATGGGCCCAAGATGTTTGCTTCCCCCACGTTAGAAGAGACAGAACACAATTCAAATAGATTGGAGAATGACGCCATTGCTCTTTTGGAGGGCCTGGCCAAGTGGGAAATCCGTTCCTAAATGCACAAATTCCATTCCCAACTCTGAGGAGGCATACCAACAAGGAGCTCGTATGCCTAAAAGCATGTTAGTTTAGTTACAATCTACAAACTGAATTTGGTCCATCGATACTATTCTTATTGTTTAATGAAACATTAGAATAAGTTCATTAATCACATGAATGCATTATTAGTCTTACTACTTACATGGAATCGACTTTCTCTTCAGGGCCTTGCACTTGGCCTGTCACAGTGCCTTTGCTGGTATTCTTCACCCAGCCAACCACTCCTATTTTCTTAGCCTCACCTTCTGTGTACTGGTTTTAGGAGAAAATTAGTGAAACAAAATCCAGCATCAAAAAATGTAACATAATTTTTTTCCTACAGTCCATGACAAAAATTACGTAGCTGACCTACAATCACTCCTCTGTTTACAAGAACCTTCATTTAAGGGTAAATTTTATTAAATTCCACTTTCAGTAAAGATGAGCACATTATGAGAAAATAAACTGATAGAAAACAGTTTCCATGATGTGTTTTGGGATTCATAAAATTCAGTTGCACTGCCCCAATACCTTCCAACACTGAATTACATTGTCTGGGTTCCAAATGATGATCATCCTAAGATTTTCAATCACTGAGGGAAAATATTGAATTATGATCAATACACAGTATTCAATTAAAAGTTTCTGATGTCTTCCATTGGCTGTGGACTTGCCACACAAATATTATAATTGTCTATACGTGAGTTTATTTCTCCTATTATTCTTTACAGTCTTTTAAAAATTTCTCAGTTTTAAATTCAATTATGTTTACAGATGAAAACCTAGCAACATTTTAATTTGAACAATTTTAACTACATCATACTAAATTCTTGTGGATTCTACCTACTGGAACTTTTTAAAAACACGGTCTTCTGTTTGGAGGTCAGAGTGACTAAGAATCTATACACTCCACTTCCCCAACTAAACAGAGATGGTTACAGCTAGGATTTATGTGGGAGCTAGTTCTGAAAATAATAATGAAAGAAGAGACAATCTGAACTGTGGGACAGGGGACTATCTCAAAAGGAGGAGACTTCACTGGTTAGGAACATACTAGAACTCTTGGGAGGTTAGGAAGAGAGAGCTAATCTAGTGACTGCTAGCTCTGACAGTAGGTGAAACCACATGCACCTTTTACTTTTAGGAAAGGAGAATATTAACAAAGGAAAAATTTTAAAAGCATTAAGGAGCCTTAACCTGTCTTAACTCCTGAGAACCACTTCCTTACGCAACATGGGCATTTTTCATCCTGGAACTCAAGATTTGCCTGGAGGACTTCTTCCATCCAGAACATGGAGCAGATCCCACACTTTATGTTCAGTACACCTAGCCAAAATGTTTAATTCGATCATCCCAGTAAATGAATTTTTGAAATTCATACAAAAGATTAACTACAAACTAGGCAGGCTGTAATGTTTTTGATAGACTACTTTCAAAAGACAACTTTAATAAAAAATTTCAGGCAGTAGTTTGGAAAAAATACAAATATTTCATTTACTGTCAAGGACAGAAAATAAGCAGGAAGCTAGCACTAAGTAGAAAACTGCTCTATCTCTGTAAATAGAAATAACAAGTAGGGGGAGAAAAAAAAAAACAAAAAATTGACTTACCATTCTGAAGCAAACACCTGTATTAAAAAAAGAAGATAAAAAGAAATGTTAGTTTGTCTACCTTTAAAAAAATTATGTATTTCCTGACTTAACTTTCATCTACTTTATTAAATAGTAAGTAAATGAAATGAACAAAAACTTTCATATCTGAACATATTCAGAAAGTGTTTTTTAAAATTATTTTCTTTTAAAATAATAACAGAAAAGGAAGGCTTTTTGGAGAAAAATGGTAATATTCTGAAACCAAAGACTCATGAAAAGCCACACTGCATATTCATTCTATTTCAAAATGGTCAATAAAACAAAATACTTATTACCAAGGACCATTTGGTATATGTGGCATACAACTTACTCATTCTCAGCTTTCAGAATTTCTTCTTTAAATGCAAGGACTAAATTCAAATTTGAATGTAATAAAACATTTCCGTTTTTATTTCAGGGACAGGAAACTGATCAGGTTTGCCAAGGGCTGGGGGAAGGAGTGCTGCAAAGGGGCAAGAGAGAACTTTCTCGGGTGAAGGCACTGCCTTACATCTCAACTGTGGTGATCGCTAAGTGACTGTATGCATTTTTCAAAACTCATTAAACTATACACTAAAAAGGGTGAATGTTACTGAATTTAAATTATACCCCAACTGAAAAAAAATTTTTTTTAAATATATTGGGAAATCATACGTGATAGATCAAACCAATATTCAAAGAGGTCAAAAGATAGTGCCTATACATACAGCAATTAAGCCTACTTAAGAAGATACAGAAGGGATTGATGGCTTAGATAATGTTATATACTTTGTAAGCAGATTTATAATAGCAGGGGGTATCATTTGTTTCCTGATGATTGCGTACTGCGGTATTGAATGAATATGAAGAAAAAGAGCAGTAAAGCAATAAATACAGGATATATCACAAATGGAATTTTTATATGGCTGTAAAAATATTTAAAAGGTACATATAAAATGAGGAGAAATGATGAGTGGCAAGCATTGATCTGAAGGGGATTCACAAAGGTAATTAGTCATATAGACAGAAGGGAAGACGGTAGCTTGTAGATATGCTAGGAACTGGTGGAAAACTCACAGAGAAACTTCCACTAAAGCAGACCATGTAGAAGAGAGTAACGAAACAGAAGAGAAAACAGGCAGAACTGTGAAAAGCGTTTAGTCATTTTATCCTAAGCGTGAGGGGATCCCGAAAGACGCTGCCCAAGAAGCATGAAAGGTTTGAGGCAGGGCTGTGTTGTGCCCATTCCCCAGAGGTCCTCCACAGCAAACAGTCCCCTTAATGTCAGCATTAAGAAAAAAAAGTCAGGCAACAGAAGTAAACAGAAATTGGAAACATCTGGTCCAGCTCTTTCCCATTTAAAAAATAGCCCAATGCCCAACAGCACCAGCAGAACCAGAGTTTTTCAGATAATTGTATTCTCAGGCCCCTCCCCAGACCTACAGAAACAAATTCTGCAGGTGGAGCCCAGGAATCTAGTTTTAGCATCCTCTCTGTGTGATTCACATGCCCACCCAAGTGTAGAACCAATGGGTGATGCTACCTTCATGGAAGGCCTGGGAAAGGCTTGAAAAGGTTTTTATTTTTTGTTTTGTTAAGATTTTATTTATTTCTTTATTTAAGAGAGAAAGAGCACGAATGGGGGATAGGTGCAGAGAGAGAGGGAGAAGCAGACTCCCTGCTGAGCGTGGAGCCCAATGCGGGCTTGATCCCAGGACCCTGAGATCCTGACCTGAGCTGAAGGCAGACGCTTAACCCACTGAGCCACTCAGGCACCCCATGATTTTTATTTCCAATCAAGAACTGCATCAGAAAGGGAAGAGTCTGATAGGGTATCACAAATCTGATGCATTCCTGGTTGACGCTGTTCATGTTGGTAATAAATCATGTGCTTGCAGAGCAACATTCATTCACTGATTTTACAAGCCCATAGCACCACAGGAGAGGAGATACAGACAATAAAAAGCCAAAAAAAACCCTCCCCTGAGCCCTCCTTGGACCTGGTTTGGGAGTAGCCCAGGCAGCCCTTCGCTTAGATTGTCATTTAAATATTCAAAATCATGTCACTGCACTCACTTTATAAATTATTTCTAGTCCCAAACTTCATTTAAGACCTATAATAAATAAATAAATAAATAAATAAATAAATAAATGTGATTCTATTTCAATGTTTTTAGAAAAATGGGTAATACTGTTTTCATGCCCTGGTCCAAATGATCATCTCTCCACAGCCTCCTTAACTAGTGTCCCAGCTTCTAGTTCTGCCCTCCTACAGCCCATTCTCTATAAAACACCCAAGGTGATTTTCTTTATTTAAGTAATGTCATATTGCTTTCTTCCCCAGCTTAAAACACTCTATCGGTTTACCATTACACTCAAAATAAGAGGTATGCCACTTGCCACAGCCTCCAGACCCCTACCCCCAACCTATGAGTCTACCTCATATTTTAGGACTCCCTCTGAGCTCTCTCCATTTCAGGCAAATCTGCCTCCTTCGTGCTCCTCAGTATGCCAAGCATACTCCTGCCTCACAGCCTTTGCAAGTACTATTCCCTCTGCCTGAAATGCTCTTCCCCCAATCTTCTCATGACTAACTTCGGCTCATTCATGTCTCTGCACAAATGTCACCTCCTCAGAAGTATTAATTAAGTTGGAAGAAAGGCAGGCAGGGACAAGCACCCCATGCCCCCAATCCTAAGAGGAAACCACCCTTAAAAGGATTTTACACCACCCTGGAAGGAGCCCTCCACCCTTTCCCACGTGATAGGTAGATGACAAAAACCTGACTGGGTGACAGGCTGGTGGAGGGTTAATCAGATTAAAACAGCCTGCCAACAAGCCCATAAAAACCCCTAGACTTAGGAACTCCAGTGGCAACCCTCTCCAGTCCCCTTCCTCTTCGGAGCTTTGCACTATCACCCAAGAAACTTCATTTTGTAGCCCACCACTTTCCTCTGGTCTGCCTCTTCATTCTTCAAAGTGGCATGACCAAGAGCCACGGGCACCAAAGGAAAAGAAATCCTGTAACAATATGTCCCTTGCCCAACTCATCTAAAACAGCAATACACCCCAATGTTTCCTGTATATGCATAGTACTAATTACCATATGACTTTACAAGATATTTGTTTACTTTTCTTTTTTTTTTTTAAGATTTTATTTGTTTATTTGACAAAGAGAGAGATCACAAGTAGGCAAAGAGGCAGGCAGAGAGAGAGAGGGGAAGGAAAGCAGGCTCCCTGCAGAGCAGACAGCCCAATGCGGGCCTGGATCCCAGGACCCTGAGATCATGACCTGAGCCAAAGGCAGAGGTTCAACCCACTGAGCCACCCAGGCGCCCTGTTTACTTTTCTTAAATGTCCTGTCTTCACTCTAAATTCTATTAGGGCACGACTTTTTTCTGTCTTGTTCACCATTGTGTTCCCAGCACTTAGATCAGACCTTGGCACGTATCTGCTGAATAAATGAATGAAAGATAAACCAGCTGATAAATATTTAAGTGAAATACTTAACTCTCCTGTAATAATTCCTTATTAATATTGCAAATATACATACAAGCAGATTGATGAGACTTTAAGTCTAATTCAAAGTGATGATAATAAATTTACTGCAATTTAGAGCTGGAAAGAATCTCAAGACTTCTGTGTTGATTCTAGCAGAACTTTACCTAAATGATAATACATAGTGTTGTGAAAATTAGTAATGGGAAATTTCACTAAAATGAAGTCAGGTAGGTCTCAGCAGGGGGAGCTCTCATGCCCTACCATTCATAGTCCACTTCAGACCCAACACAAAGTGAGAGACCTGACCTTACACAGGCTTGACCTTGCCCGTGAATACTATTCTACTTCTCCAGCCTAAGGAAGAAACACTTTCCTCAGCCCCTACCCCCTATCTGGACAACAGCTCAGCCAATGAGAAGCCACCACACTTGATATTCCCAGTTTACTCCCCTGGACTTTTAGTTCATGACTGCCTTCCCAACGTACCCCTTTTCTCCTTAAAAAGGCATGCCTGTCCTTTGTTGCCCAGATTCACCTAAGGTTGTGCCCCACCTTGTTTGTCCTAACTCGCAATTCTCTTTCATTCCCAAATGAACCCTTTTTTGCTGGTAAAATAACTGGCAGTTTTACTTTAAAAGTTAAAATTACATGTATACATACCTATTTAGTATTTAATATAAAGGATAGCAAGAAGCCACTGAGAATATCTAAGTTGACAAAACAAGAAATAGTAATATCTGCATGTTGTTTATAAATAAAGACATAACAACCACAAGAATGGAAAAAAGGAAAGGTTGAATTGGTCATCTTGGAGAAGTTAGAGGATTTGAGATGAGAGACGAAGCAGGATCTGGTGGCTGTGTTTTTAACTATGAGTGATAAGGGCACACTCATATTTACCGAACAAATCCTAAAACAGTAGAACTCAAGGACTGCCATTAAGTTTACGAGACATAATTTTAGCCTAAATTCATACTGCTTGACAAACAGGGTAGAAAATGAAGTGTTGCTCCTGACTCTAGGCAGTGACTGATGGACAACAAAACATAAGACTGAAATAAATCATGTATGAAAGATTCAATATGGACTCAACAGAAACTTGGCTTGCCTTGGTTATCGATCTAATGTTTTGAGGTTGAGATTTCCTGTAACATGTCCTTCTGTGTCACTACCTGGGGAAGTATACAGAATGTAATCATTACTGTTAAATTTACTTAATATATGTATATCTGTGGGGCAGACACTGCTAGCTGCTTACACAGAATTCATTCTCCCCTTCTTTTTTTTTTTTTTAAGATTTTATTTATTTATTTGACAGACAGAGATCACAAGTAGGCAGAGAGGCAGGC